AACTCAAAAATGCGGTAATAATAGTGAACACACACTGCTGGTTTACTCGGCACCATGCATGTGCTTTAGAGGCTATATTTCATTTTATCTGTGCCAAAACTTATAAAGTAGGTGTTGTTATTATCCCCATTTTGCTAGTACACTTTAGAGAGCATAAGGAATCTCCAAGGTCATACAATTAACACGTGGCAGAGTTTGCAGAGGCCCCATTCTTATCCCCATGCTGCCTCCACAGTTTAAATTGAATTATTAGGAATACAAATGTGAGAAGCACAGTAAGAAATTATTAAATATTATCCATAGATGTAAAGATGAAGAAAGAGAGTGTCATGGAATAAACTTGCAGATGAGATGGAATGCAAAGGAGGCTGAGGAAGAAGAAGACAGAGGAGAGGAAGAATCAGAGAGGAAGGGGGAGAACTTGGAGAGTGCCACAGCAGTAATCAAGGGAACGCATTACACCACAGTAGTGTGATTAACAGAGGGGTCAGAATTCAGAAAAAGCCTTGGCTTTGGCCATTAGGTGGTTATTAGTGACATTCCAGGGAAGCTTTAGGAGCCAGATTGTGTTGAGTAACTTTTGAGTAACCATTTGGCAGTACGTTGTTAAATCTAATAATATAGTGGCCCATCAGGCAAAGCAAATGTGGTAAGTGGGCTGTATGAGAAGAAATCAGAGTGGGGAGATCTGTTGGCAGACTGGGGGTCAGTGTTGCCTGATCTTTTGATTTTCCACAAGAAGCTGGAAATACAGAAACTTCTGGGTGATATTTCCTGAGTTCTAGATGTTAGTTCAATACTTTAAAAATATAAACTTAATTGAGGGCTAACCATAACACATCTGAGGGCTGAATTTGTCCTACCAGCAGCAAGCTTATGGAATCCTCTTTTTAGAAGTTTAGAAGTGAAATGAGGAAGCATCTCAAAGCAGCAGCAAGATCAAGGCATGTTTAAGATCATGTTTGAGGCACGTGTGTGTGTATGTGTCTAGCATTGTTTGTTTTTGTTTTCTTGGAGTGGGTAAATATAAACTCACTAAGGAGGAGGATTTAATGTATAAATAGAGAGAGGCCCAAAATATGAAGAGAGGAGGTGTCTGGAAAAGGAAGGTGCTTGTGCGAGTGGGAGGAATCAGATTAAGAAGCCAACTGCAAAGGGAACATCCCTACTATGAGAATCTGAAATCCAGTGTTCCAAAATCTGAAACATTTTGAGCACTGACATGACACTCAGTGGAAATGTTCACTGGAGCATGTAAGCTTTTGGATTTTTTGGATTTGGAATGTTCAATCAGTATAACACAAATATTCCAAAATCTCAAAAAATCCAAAATCCAAAACACTTCTAGTCTTGAGCATTTCAGATAAAGGATGCTCAACCTCTGTTAGAAAGAGGAGAAGATACAAACAGATGGAGTGATGGGATAGTGAAAAGGCAGAAGTGAAGAGAACCTCCCTCCTTTATACATGTGGTTAAAGGATATATTGCCTGACTGGCAAGGGGCTCAGTTGGAGCCTGGACAAATTTTGTGATGGCTGCTTGGGGAGGTAGTGGCTAGAGTGTAGGGCACTTAGAACTGTCAAGTAGTAGTGAGGACCTAGTTTACTTCAGTTCATGAGTACCTATTTATGTGAAACCACTAAGTGCAGAAGATACAGAATAGGAAAGACTCAAATATTGCCTCTGTGAGCTTATGGTCTTACTTATATACTGTATCTCTAACCTGAGTTGATGAGCAAGTTTTCCACTTTTCATCCACTTGCTATCATTGCCAATTTGTTATACCTGTAAGTTACCTCTACTATTTGCTCAGTAATTTTCTTTAAATCACCTCTTATTTTACATATAAAGATAGAAAAAAGGAAGCTATATGTAAGTACTTATACTTTTATATTGTATTTGTGCAAACAATGCATTCTTAAAAGTGGTATTAAAATATAAAATTACTTGACATTTCCATGTCACCTAAAATAATCTTGTGTATAATTAGTAGAACGTATACCATGCCTTGGAAACAATGAAACTGGTTGGTTGGTTGGTAGAGTTCTTTTTTTTTTTTTTTTTTTTTTGAGACAGAGTTTTGCTCTTGTCACCCAGGCTGGAGTGCAATGGCACAATCTCAGCTCACTGCAACCTCCACCTCCCGAGTTCAAGCAATTCTGCTACTGCGCCCAGCTAATTTTTGCATTTTTAGTAGAGATGGGGTTTCACCAGGTTGGCCAGGCTGGACTTGAACTCCTGACCTCAGGTGAAGGAGATATGCCTGTCTGGGCCTCCCAAAGTGCTGAGATTACAGGTGTGAGCCACTGTGCCTGGCCAGTAGACCTCTTTATGTCATTCAGAGGAATCTTTTTTTTTTTTCCATGTTAGAGTATATATACGTGGCCTTGGTTTTTTTTAGACAAGCAGGTTGGCTTAGATGGCCTGATCTGAATAAAATGGATAAAGGCAGGGACCTCTTTGCCTGACAATTTTAAAGGGTTGCCATTTGAATACCAAGAAGTTTGAAGCTTCACTGCAGAGACTTCCAAATTAATCTAGTCTGGAAAAAAACGAAAATGCCATCAAGTAACAGGAGATTTGTCAGCTGTTCTGCTTACACTTTTCATATAAAACATAAAGGTTGGCAGATTATAGATGAAAGGTCAGTTCAGCAAAAAAGAAAATATGTCAGACAATCTCATAACATCGGTAACAGAGGATGGAAGTTGGAAGCTACTCTTGGGCTCTCGGAAAGAGATGAGTTTGCTGGTGATGTGTAAATATCATCACCTTTTCTGTGGCTCTTCATTTTGGTGGCTACCATTTTATGTGAGTCTCCAAAATTTGATTTAAAAGACAACAAAGATGCCTGTCTTTCTGAGAAAGATTTACTTTGCAACAGTTTCACTTAAAGAAAAAGAAAAAGAAAAAAACCGAGTCTGAAGGGGGAAAATATACCTCTTTTGCCATAGTGGCTAGTCTCACCTACGCTGCCCCTGAACCAAAGTCCTGAAATGAGGATAAATTGAGAAACCCAGGCTTCCTGCAAAAGCAGTGGCACATAATGAAAAGGTTTACAGTGAGTACTTCATTGTGAATGATTAAAGGGGAACTGGGCAACTGCAGTGTGATTTGTACAGGTAAAATCCTTTGCTCTAAGAATCACACAGTTAGGACCTGCCTTGGAACAGATTGCTTCCTGGTAAAACATTTTAGCCTGTTCCCGCTTTAGGAGCACAGGTGAATTGGGTTGGGGAGCAATATTAGGCCCATAGGGTCACAGAGCCATGATATTAGAGTTGTAGGGCCTCTCACAAATTTCTAGCATGTGCAGTGCTGGGAATTTGTGCACTTGAAGTGTGGGAATTGTGTAAAATACCACTATTCTATCCAAGCAACTTTGCTATGTACATCATACTCCTAATTACTAAATTGACATAAACTTTCATTTGAGGGAGGCTTCCTACTCGTTTGTGAACTCTTCAGCATAGCCTTGCAAATAATGGAGGCCAAAGATGTGACACACAGCACTGTGGGCTAGTAGTCAAAGATACCCATTGATACTTGGCCTCAACATTTCTGGTTTCTTCTCTCTGCGGTGTTATTTTCTATCAGACTGCTTTCCTCTGTCTCTTAAGCCTCCCCATTGTTGCCCTTGCTATATATGCAATTTTATTATTGTCAGAAATCTAAGAATTAATAGCTAAAGAAAAGGCAGTAATATTACAAAACATGATCTGGCAGTCTTCAAAACTGCTTCAATATTAGCAAATACGTTTGCGATGTGCTGCTGAGACTGTGTGGACTTCACAGTGTAATCTTTAGAGTTTGAATTGCTGACGACAGAACTTGTTTCCCTCATCTCCCCCACAAAATTGTCTTCCCCACTAAGCTTTCTTAATGAAATCATTGAGACTCCGGCTTGCTGGTAAGAACCATTTCTTACAACAAGTGTATCCATTTCCTGCTAGTGGTAACTTTAATTCTTCCTGGAATAGCAGGAAACATTAATTTTGCATTGGACCCACAGGTCTCAGAAAGCTAGAATTAAGGTGCCATTTTTTCCTCCAAAATAAAATAAAATAAAAGAACAGCAGATCAACAGTGAGGCTTGAGGGATGGGTAGAGTAAAGGAAAGAGCATTAATTTCAGGTGGGGACAGCTGCCTGGCACTATCTCCCTTTGGATTTTGGTTCTTATAGCATCACGGTGAGTTATTAATATGTATGACCTGTACTTTATTCAAACATTATAAATCTATGCAGAAGTCTGGTGTTTGGGTTTTCCTTTATAGCTTTCATTCTCCTTCCCAGAATTATCTCATTTTGATCGGGAAACTTTTGCATAAAAAGCACACACCGAGAACTCACATTTCCATACCATAAATATTAAAAGGGGGTTAAGCTTTACAGTTTCTTCTCCCATCCCAATGGGAGGAAAGTGAGCCTTCTAATCAGGGGGCCTTACTAATGTTCTTTTTATTCACAAGCCAAAAGGTAAACTTAAAATTAGAGTTGAAATATGAAATTGTACTATGTGGTTCCTTTCATGTATGTCAGTCTTGGAATATTTGACTATGCCATGTCTTTTGTATGAAGGATGTATTAAAAATCCAGTAGTTATCTGAGTTCTTAAGAGTAGGTGGTTAGATTATGTTTTGAGGACCAAGGCAGGTCCAGACCTTCTTTTCAGGATCGTGATTAAAGTGATTTTTACTGGATAAATATAAAGTGTGGATTCATCACAATGAATAAGTAGCATACAGAAGAGGGAAATGAAACTAGAAAACTTAATGTCTTTTTAGCAACATTTTAGCTACTTAGCAGCTTCGTATCGCCCGTTATTGTCATTTTTGTTAGCATAAAGGAGTAGTCATAAATTCCGGTTCGCATGGAAATGTAAAGGAATGTGTGAGCTATTTCATTTGGGTGAGCTGTCTGCTAATCACATAGTCTCGGCTGTTGTACTTTGTGATGGGAAATAAACATGCTAATTGGTGCTCTTTTTTCTTATTTCAGGAAACCTGCCATATGAATATAAAATAGTGATTGCTGGGAATCATGAACTGACATTTGATAAGGAATTCATGGCAGACCTTGTTAAACAGGACTACTACCGTTTTCCCTCTGTGTCCAAATTGAAACCAGAGGACTTTGACAATGTTCAGTCCCTCCTGACAAACAGTATTTACTTACAAGATTCGGAGGTAACAGTGAAGGGATTCAGGATATACGGTGCACCTTGGTAAGTGATGATTCAAACAGTTTTCCACGTTGTTTTTTAGCTCAGTACCAAGAAAACATGGCTCAGAGTTAGATGCTTTAAAGGAAAATGATTAGGATGGAAGGAAACCTTATTGCTGTATTTCCAACAAAATACATACTGTACTGCCACAAAATGCAACACTTGTTTTGATTGTGATAGAAAGCCCTTTAGGCAAGATCAATGAGAGTTAAGGCTTCCAACTATATACAGGCATCCTTCCTTTGGTATCTATGGAGGATTGGTCCAGGACCTCCTGCAGATAGCAAAATTCCAGCTTGCTCAAGCCTTTTATATAAAATGGTGTGGTATTTAAATATAACCTATGCACATCCTCATGTATATTTTAAATCATCTCTAGATTACGTGTAATACCTAATACAACATAAATATGATGTGAATCATTGTTATACTTTATGATTTAAGGAATAATGACAGGAAAAAAAATCCAGCACAGATGCAATTCTTTTTCTAATATTTTCTTTCTTTCTTTCTTTTTTTTTTTTTTTTGAGATGGAGTCTCTCTCTGTTGCCCAGGCTGGAGTGCACTGGTGTGATCTCTGCTCACTGCAACCTCTGCCTCCCAGGTTCAAGCGATTCTCCTGCCCCAGCCTCCAAAGTAGCTGGGATTACAGGCGCTCACAACTGCGCCCAGATAATTTTTATATTTTTAGTAGAGATGTGGTTTCACCATGTTGACCAGGCTGGTCTTAAAATTCTGACCTCTGGCGATTTGTCTGCCTCAGCCTCCCAAAGTGCTGGGATTACAGGCATGAGCCACCGTGCCTGGCCCTTTTTCTAATATTTTCTATTATTGGTTGGTTAAATCCCTGGATGTGGAATCCCTGAGTATGGAGGGCTGGCTGTATATGTTTTTGCTACTGGGTCCAGGTGAATGTCTATGTGACACAGAAGGATTTGAGAGGAGGTCACAATGCTGCCCTTTACACAGATTCAGCTACTCTGAACATTCCATCAGCCTTAGGTAACTCATTTCCCTCTCATTTTGTACTTGAAGCAGTCATAAAATATCTTGTTTAAATTAGGGTTTCTCAAATCTCCCTGGACATCAGAATTTCCAGCTCTGTAGAAATACAGATTCTGAAGCCCCACCTCCAGAGATTCTGATTCTCCTTCCTGAGATGAAGCCGAGCAGTTCATATTATTTTAAAGTTCCCTGGGCAAGACTGATGCACAGGTGGTCTGGAAGTTACTGGTTGAGAGCTGGGGCTAGAATTCCCAGAACTAAGCTCTGAAAAACTTGAAATGGGCATATATCCTTGGGGGCCAGACAAGAAGCATGTCAGTCTTGACTCTTATCAGTTGACAGTTTTCAGGTTTTAAAGGACTTACTTCACAGTGTCTGAGCCTCCGTTTTCGCATCTCTAAGAGGTGAAGATGATACCTATTTTAGAGGGTTATAATGAGGATAAGATAGGTAAAGTTTGTGGTGGATTTAAGAGAGTATCAGGTAGTTTGCTTAGGGTGTGAATTATAATTTTTCTGGCCTTGGGTTTTTCCACTTAAGTATTTATAGGAACTTGGGAAAGTCATTTAGGTCCTAGAGTCAGTTTTTTAAAATCTTTAAAATGGGAGTGTTAGACTAAACGATTGTCAATATTAGCAAGTTCTAGGATTTTTCTGAGGGTGTATATAGAGCAGAACTAACCTATGTGTGTATATAGAGCAGAAGAAATAACTTTTACTCATCCAATACAGAGGACTATACCAGTCCTTGCCTAGGAGTTGTGGATAGGACTAGAAAAAGACAGGCAGACTGAATTCAGATGGGCCACTTTACTTGACAGTTTGGCCTGTCCTCTGTAAATTAAAAGGCTGAGATATTTTCTATAACTTTTTTCTAGCTTTACGAGTTGGTATCCAGAAAGACTGGTGAGTGAGTACAGGAAGTAAATTTCTGTTTAAAATCAATCCCAACAATGATTTTGAACTCTTAAGTACTTCCTATATGCCAGGCATTGTCCTGAGTTTTTTGTACGTGTGTTATCTCATTTAATCCTCAAAATACCTTTAGGAGATGGGCACTATTACAATTCTCATTTGATACATAAGAAAACCCAGGTGCAGAAAAGTTAAGTAATTGCTCAAGAATTGCCACAGGTAGTAAGAGGTTTGATTTGAACCTGGCAAGTCTGATTCCAGGGTATATAGCATGACTGAGGCGTGGTGTGGGTAGGGATGTGGTATTGGTGGTTATAATCTGCAGATCTAGTTTATACCTAGCTTTAGTAAGATATGTCAATTTACTTATTTTTAATGTGTGAGAACGTGGTAAAGGGTAAGAGAATAAAGAGCATAAATCAGTCCCATCAAAGTGTAATCTGAAAACTTATCTCTGGGTCATGTAGGATGTTGATATTAGTGTTTCTGGGTTAGGGGCAGGAGAGAGAGCATTTCCAGCTTCACAGCTCAGTTCTTAATGACTGTGCAGTAGTTGAGGGATGACCTCTGATGGGCAGAGACACTCTACATGCAAGTTAAGATTAATTGTTTAAAAATTATTTAAGATTACTTTTGAAAAATCTTTAAAAGACACAGGACATTTAAGGCTGTTCCTGAGCAAGCAGGACATTCAGAGATCCTTGGATTGATAGTTGCAGAAATGATGACAGCAACAAACTTCCTCCATTATCTGAGCTGATTCAAATCTGTTTAGGACAGGGTTCAGCTAAACCAAATTACAGCTGTGATGAATGAGGGAATGATTTTGGTCCTCAGGCGGATCTTGCAGCATCTCAAGAAATCGAACAAACAGAGTAATTCAGAGATGTGATATGACAGGCATGGTCTGTTTTTGGTGGTGGTGCAAACTGCAAAGTTAATACCTGAACTGGATGGATGTCATTTAAGATGTTTTAATTTTAATACTGGCAAGGGTAGCAAAGTCAAGGAAATAAGCACTAATCAGTCTTCTGAAATGTTTTCCTGAAGTTGTCATTAAACACAATGCCTGTTGAGATTCCCACAAAGCTTCAACCATTTCCTATTAAGCATCTCTTTACAATGAGGGAGATCCCTAAGTGGTTTTTGCCCCATCCATTGGAATTGTTGATACTTTGTATTTTGATCAAGAATACAGAGGTTGACAAAATGGATATTTCAGTTTCATCATATGTGTTGGGGAGGCATCCATAGTTTGGATCTCACTGTGACATATTTCATCAAAATTAACATTCCCAAACTACTGATAATCTGAACATTGATTTAGAAATGTCTGCATTAGTATTTCTGTGCAAGGGAGGACAGTATTTGCCATCTCTACCACTTATACAGTGGAGTGGGAACTTGGATGAGTTTCTTAACATCTGCCTGGCTCTGTTTCATCTCTAAAATGGGAAAAAAACTTTATAGTTTCATGGGTGTTAGGAAGATAGGATTAATGCATCCACAGCACATAGAAGACTTCCTAGCATGGAGTAAGCATTTAGTAAGTGTTACCTATTACTACTAATAGTGATGTGTTGGTGTTTCCAAAGTACTCTATACTTCGTCAACCTTCATAAGGAGACTATAGGACTAGGAGTGAGATTGAATGAGTTTTATCCCTGGTTCACCTTCTGCTCATTGGGTAACACTAGGTGAGTCAATTAACTTCTTCATTTAGTTGTAAAACATGAGGAATGAAGTCTGCCCTAGTTTCTTTCAATGCCACCCACTTAAATGGTCACCAAAGTTACAATTTTAAAACACAATACATATTTGTGGGTATGCTTGAATTACTTTAATATCTTATACAATTTTTAACCTCATTTGCTATTAATTTGCCCAGAAGCAATGTTCTGAGAACCTATGCCATAGCTATTACTTTTCTCCCTTCAGAAATTAGATTTTTTTTCCATCTCTGAGATTACCCATAGGTGAGTTCCTGCTTAGTAACCCAACCTATATTTCAACCCAAAATAATGTAAATTGATTGTTTGATTTCCCAATTTTTTCAGTGACTTTTTTGGAGGAAGTGTTAAGTTCTGCATTGCTGATACTGCTAGTGGTTTTAAAGATAGAAATCAAAATAAGAACCCTAATATTAATGATTTCCAGCCTATCATAGGTTTCTCAAAAGCAAATGCCATCAGACTAGGAAAATAGCTATAATTCATGTATTTTGAAAATATGGATTGTGACTTTGTCTAGCTATAGAAGAAGAATACTAGTCTGTATTCATTACACGTTCATAACTTGCAGCACAGCTGAAAACTACCTCAAGACTAGGGAAAATTAAAGTAATAGTTTCTAATTTACAATTTAACAGGAATTTGTATGTTGAAAATAACAACAACACACCAGAGCATTCATATACGTTTGCAACCGTAATGTTCTTTCTTATTAGATCCCCAAGGAAGAGGCTTTGAATGTTGTTTGATGGGTCTAAAAATTCAGTGGCCTAAAGTGAAGACGTTTTAAGTGGGATGCCAAGTCTAGGAAGGAAAGTGGGTTCCTTAGATGGGAGGGCAAGAGTTGATGAAGTCTCTGGGGGCACTCTTACATCAGGAGGCCTTAAGGCTGGTTTTCTGGCTTCTGTATATATTCCTTCATTATCTCATTCTTCCAAGAATCTGGAAGAAAGGCATCGAGTGTCTTTTTTACAGTTCAGCCACAGATTTGCTTCACTTCTCCTAAAGTCATTTTCTTTCTTCATTCTTTTTTGGGAGTGCAGAAGAAGAAGGTCTTTTGTTATCAGGCAGGTGGGTCAGCTTCATACTTAGTTCTTACCATGGGAGAGCTTGTGGATTTCTTGTGTACCTAGTATTGATTCTCCACCACCAAGGCGGTGCCCAATTTTGTCTTTGTGACTCACTCTCAGCTCTGGAATGTCTTTCCCAAAGGCTGAGTATGCTTAGAAAGGGGAAAAAATGTTAATCTGTCAAATATTAGCCACTGTGGTAACTAATGGCATGTCTGGCCAGGGTAGAGGGAGGGTAGAATTTTGAAATCATCTTTGTATTTTTGATTACTGAATCTGT